TTACCCGTTACTCCAGCTTTGGCACACTAGTATTACCCTCCCAATCAAGATCCCCAGACCGCCCAGGGGTTGTTGGTACTACCCTGCCAATCGTGAATTAATATGCGCAACCTATTTGCCCCAAAATCTTCTACAATACTGCACGTAATGCCAACTCTCTATGGCTAGATCTCCTTCTGGGAATTCCTATTCTAGATTCATACTTCACTTGGACTTTTTCCATATGGCTCCATATCCGATTATTAGCTCCTAATATCATAAGGTTACAGAGTTTCTTTTGCCTTCAGCCTAAATCAAACCGTGGACCTTAACTTTATACTGTGAGGGTTTGGCAGCTTAACCACTAAGCTATAGAGCCCAAACCCTAATTATGTATGCTTTAATTATGTCATTTACAGATATTTGTTTACTAAATATCACAATTAGAATTTTATATTTATTTTTTTGGGGTATCTGTATAATAAATGGTATAATTTAATGTTTTGATATGTTTTTTACGGTTACTTTTGGGATTTGCAGATTGAATATTGTAATTTAATTGCATGTCATTTTTGGTATTTTAAAATCATTTTCCATATCAAAGGTGCTAATTGTTTAACTAATAATAATTTAATATAAGTTAAATTAGTTGGTTTGTTTAATATTTATTAGTTGATTTGTTATTTTTTTTTTTTTAATAGAAGTTAAATCAGTTGGTTTGTTTGATATTTATTAGTTGATTAGTTATTTTTTTTATTTATATTATAAATAAAGTTAGATTGATTTGTTGTATGTTGTAATTGTTATGTATTTGGGAATGTTTTATTTGTGTTGTCATAATGATATAATTGTAAGTGTTTATCGTATGTTTTTTTTTTATTGTATTGTATGATTTATTTGTGTATTTCTGAAGTACTGAATTTTTGAAATTGGAGTGTTATGATATAATAATATATGCGTATGAGTATATAAGGATTATTATTTTTATCTTCTGTTAATTTATAATTTTGTTCTTTAGTTGATTAGGTTTGCATGATGCTATGTTACGCTGATATAATTGTAAGGATCAAGTATGTTACTTTTTATGAAAATGAAAAGATAAATTCTTTGGTTGTTTGGGCTCTTGGTGCTTATCCCATAGAGCAAGAAGACTATAATATTGAAATGTCATTGTTTGTGCCTTTAAATTTGAACAGAAGAGATCTTGAGACTTAGGCGGTTTTTGAAAGGATAATTTTTTTTGTGTTAGGGGCAAAATTATTCCCGAGTTTTATGGTGATAATAGAAGAGCAAAGGTATCTGATGTATTTGTATATTTTTATGTATATTATTTTTATTTTTGGTTTATTTATTTGGTTGTTTTTTTTTGTTTTTTTTTTATTGTTTTGTGTGTATTAATTTTGATTTTTACTTAGATGATAGTTTCTACTTCTACGCATGTAGCTATTCTTAATAAGGTGGTTGAATCAAATAAATGTCCTTTCAAGATGTCTCTTGTTGGAATTCCTCAAGAGTTGCCAAGTGAAGTTAAAGATAATACTGTTATTAAGACGTTGGTGTCTGATTTTTCTGGTCAAGAGCATAATTTTACAGTGAAAGTTGTCTTTTCTCGTTATAATCATTATTTAACATGTTTGAAAGATTCTATTCATTCTCAAGAATCTTTGATTTTTGTAGTTGGCAATTGGAGATTATTGGAAACGAATTTTATGTTTATACTAAGGATGTTAATTATATTAATACACAGTTTAGTAATAAGAAGAGGTTTTTTGATAGCGATGCATCACAAAATTTATTAGCAAGTAAAAGTATGATTCATTCTAAATTATTGGCTACTCATCAGAATATTGTTAGAGATTTTGTGAAAAGTTAGGTAATAAAGCTTCAGATGATCCTAGTGGGTCTGATTTAAATTCTGCAGGTTGTTCTGATTCCACAAACCGTGCAAGGACTAATAGTTTTAATGGGTCTTTTAATGATGGTTCTGTGGATGTTGAAAATGAGTATTTTATTGACAGTGATTATGCTGTGTCAGATTGTAGTCAAGATGAAGAGGAGAATTCTGGTAAGGATAGTAAGTATAAGAAAAAGGTTTTCTGTAATAAGGAAAAAGAGCCTGTAGAAAGATCTTTACATAGTAGATCAAGTTTATATAGGTCGAGTTCTGGAAATGTTTAAAAAATTTTTTTTTATATGTTTTTGAGTTGTAGTTTTATTTTTTTATAAAATATTATTATTTTATTATTTTTTTTTTATGATAATTTGATTAAGATTATTATTTTTTATGTAATTTTGTTAATAAAGTTTTAGTTATCATTATTTTGTTCAGGTTTTAGTTATTTATGTTATTTTATTTAAATTATTATTTTATTGTAGAATTTTGGTTATTAAATTGTAATATATTTATTGTATTAGTTATTGTTATTTCATTTATATTTTATTTATTAGTCTTATTTGTTTGCATTTAATTGTAAGTTTTAGTGAATGTTTATAGTTATTTATAATTCAGTCAGATAAGATTTCTTTGTATACTATATTTTGGATGTAAATATCTTGTTTACCTTTAATGTTACCATTTTTTACTAAAATTTTAATATTTTGGTAAGATTGCGCTCATGAAAAAGCGACATAAAGTTGACTATGCATAAATACGTGTTCGGGTAAGTAGAGCCCTACATTTGGAATGTTTGGCCTTGAGACTTGTTAAGCATGAGGGCGAAAGCAAGTTTTATAGAAAATTGTTTCCTTTTTAATATAAATGGAATTTTAATATCATTTGGCAGAGTAAATATTATACAGGGAAGGAATACTTGTTTGCCTTTATAGCTGCCTATTGCTATTTTGGCTTCAATAACGTTGGCACTGAATTTTTGACATATTAGTCTTGTGCTGTTGCATAGACCATTGAGCAGATCTATATTGCGAAGACATATAATTTGGGCATTTATTTTCAATATGAGTTTATGTGATAAGATGTCGCCAATAGTTATTGAGTTGAGGAATTTTTGTTGATACAGATTATGGTTATTATCGGGGACATGATTGAAACTTCGATATGTTATACAGTCATCTGGTAAATATTTTAATATTGTGTCATTGATATGTTCGATATATTCATTTTTAGTTGTAAGTATAACTTTGTCTGCGAAGTATTTGGTATTTTGAAAACTGTCTTGAAGGAAGGGATATACTGATCTTATAAGAATATGCAAGGATTCTTTGTTTTGCCATTTTATTACCATTTTATCGGGAATTCAGATCATGTCATTATTGATGGTTGGTTCTGTTCCATTGCCGATTCTTAATAAGAATTCTTTAAAATTATTTGCTTCAGGTTCATTTTTTACTCTCATATTTTGGTGAAGATGATATACTTCTATTTTAGACCATATTAGTGAAGATTTTAAAGTTGTGTTACGATTTGTGCATGGCTTTCTTTCAGAATTACTGGTAAAATTTGTCAGAAATCTCCGCCAAACATGATTACTTTTCCACCAAATAGTTGATCACATTCCATTATGTCTTTTAGCATTTTATCTAAGGCCTTTATTGAATAATGATTCATCATTGAAATTTTGTCTCAAATAATCAGTTTAGCTAATTTTAGTAAATTGGCTAGTTGACTTTGTTTGTTTATTGTGCAAGTTGATTCTGGGCCGATGTTTAAGGGGATTTTAAACCTTGAGTGTGCAGTTCGTTCTCCTGGCATTATTAAAGCTTTTCCAGAATCTGTTAAATTATAGTTAATTTTGATTTTATTTATTGATATTAATATTCATTATCAGTCAAGTAGTTTTTCTTTGTAATTTAGTTTTTTTTTTTTTTTTTTTCAGTATTATTCTATTAGTATATTTTTTTATTTTTTTATTTTATTTTCTGATTTATACATTATTTGCTGGTCCATCTACGAATATAGCAACTGGTAGATTTTTTTCAATTCAATCAATTATGATAGCGAATATTAATTTTTGATTTTTGTTTAACATTCCTAGTTTTGTTAGTTCTTTATTTGTTATATTAATAATAGATATACATGTGAAAGATCGCATTTCTGAAATTCAACTACATGTATGTGTGCAATTATTTTTTCAAGAATGTTTTAACTGAAGATATCTTTTTTCAATTCATTTAATTTTGCGTGAAAAATTCAAGCTATAAAATAAAATAGTTATTAGTTGTTAATATATACAATATATAATATGTTATGGTTTATATAATTTAATAAAATTATAACAATCGAAATTTTAAAATGTTAATTTTATATAGTATTTGTATTATTTTTTATTTTTTATTTTTTTTTAATTAGATAGTTTAAATTTATAAAAGTAAGTGTAAAAGTATTTAATAAGTTGAAATAATTATTGAGCGAATAAAGTTAAATATAAATAAAGGTAATGTAATTATAGTTATAGCAATATTAATAAATTTTTATCTGTTAGATCTGGTCTGTCTTGTGGGATTTGTTTTGGAAAAGGTTTACTTTTATTTCATTCCACTATGAGTTACATGTTATTGTAATAAATAAATCCAGCTTCCTATATGTTTGAACTAAGGCTATCATATTTTGATATCTTTGATACATGTTGTGAGGTCCACCTATAAAAGTTAAGAGTAAAATAATTTTTTGTCCTACATTTGAAGCATTAGCTATTTCTGATTGGAAGGAATCTTGTAAGCCTTGATAAAGTTCTTGGCAGATTTTATTTTGATTATAATGTAGGTAGTTAAGATGTGTGGATTCAATTTTTACATAGTTGTCTACTATGTACTGTTAAAATAATCTACTGCTATAGAATAGTAACGAAGGTGAAGGTTTTCAAAAATGTAGTTTATAGGAATAGTATTGTTTAGTAGTAACTTTTTTTGTATTGTATTTTGTAGTATTTCCAAATGCCAACCGTAATCTCCGTGAGGAAATAAAAGAGGATATTGTATCGAGTCATATGATCTATTTAGTTCTGATACTCTCTATAAGCCTTGTGTCTGAGAATGTACTATTATGTCTCATTTAGTATGACTTTCGGGGTTATTGCCTTCAATCAATATTGCAGCGACTTGCAATGCCGTTGGCATATTATAAGTTCGCTGGTCTAAGCTATTATTTGCTTTGATACAAAGGCAAAGGTTCTTTATATTACCATAAGTAGAGATAGAGCGAAAATTTGCTATAAAATCGTTTATTTGGTTTAGTAATTCTTTTATGAATTCTAAAGTATCTTGACGAAAATGTGAAAATGACTGTAAGTCTATTGTTTGTTTCAAACTCAGTATTATAGATGTATAACTAAAGAAATTTTGGGTTTCTCTCAACAGGTTTGAGTGATCTTATTGAATAGAAGATTCCTCCCTGTACTCGATAAGTATAAATACCAGTCCTACCTATTTAAAAGTCAGTATGTCATTTAATTAAATAATAAAATATTTTAGCCAAATTTTTTACTATTTGCGAGTTTTTTGTCTATTCTGATGCCCATTAACATAAATGCAAAAGCACTATTATATGCTCTAATGTTTTTACGAAAATCACTTTCTGTTTTATCATGTCTAATAAACAGTTTTTTTAAGGCTATATTGTCATCTGCTAATTTTAGTTTGTCGTTGAGAATTTTTAAATTATTTATATTGTTAATTAATGTTTATTATTTTTATAATTTTACTGTTATTATTATTTTTACTTGATTTTTCCCGAACTACAACACATCTCTCGAGTTTTAGTAGAAAAAAGTATAGCATAACAATAAGGGCATTCATGTGTATTCTCAAAAATATAACACGCGAAAGAAGTCATAACTACCAATATTATGTCATGTTTTTTCTGTTGATTATAGTATTTTTTATATCACTAAGTCCAAGATTTATTTGCTGCTTTTCGTTCTTCTTGTGTTTGTGGGTGAAGATTTCGAAGTGGTGGTATTTGTTAGTAAACTAATTTCAATAAAAAATTAAAAGATTTATAATTATCAAGAATTTCTTTTTTGGTATTAATTTTTTTTTTATTCATTTAATATTTTTTTATTTTTTTATTTTTTATTTTTCGTATTTGCGGTATTTATATATATATTTTTTTTTTATACACTATTATATTTTTTTAGTTCATTGAATAATTCAGTATGTTTTAATTTATTTTAATTTATTTTTTTTTTATTAAGTGCTTTTATTTATATTATTTTAAATTTGTTTATTTTAAATATCACTTAATTACTCTAATTTCATTCTTATTATTTATAACTTTTCATGATAAATTTTATATTATTATTTATTATTATTTTTTTTTATTAATATAATGTCATAGTAGAAACTTTATTACAGTCAGTCCGAAGATTGAAAGTTATCTTATAG